TGGTTCTCCCCCACCAACCATCCCTGCCCACATTAGTGGGGATCGAATCCAGCGCAGCAACCTGTTTGTCATTTCCATAGATTTAAAAAAAAAAAAAAAATCGAAAAAAGGTGGGAGAACTATGGTTCCCTCCAACCAGTCATCCCTGACCACATTAGTGGGGATCGAATCCACCGCAGCAACCTATTCGCCATTTCCATAGATTCAAAAAAAAAAAAGGAAAAAAAAGGTGGGAGATCTATGGTTCTCCCCCACCAGTCATCCCTGCCCACATTAGTGGGGATCGAATCCACCGCAGCAACCTATTCGCCATTTCCAAAGATTAAAAAAAAAAAACGAAAAAAAAGGTGGGAGACCGATGGTTCTCTCCCACCAATCAGCCCTGCCCACATTAGTGGGGATCGAATCCAGCGCAGCAACCTGTTCGTCATTTCCATAGATTTAAAAAACAAAAACGAAAAAAAAGGTGGGAGATCTATGGTTCCCTCCAACCAGTCATCCCTGCCCACATTAGTGGGGATCGAATCCACCGCTTCAATTTTTCTACATATTTCAAATACATATATATATATAAGAAAGGTGGCACCTCACACCTCCTCGTACCTTTGGTCGCCATGGCCGATTCACACGCTGTATGGAAGCATACGCTGGACGTCTCTCTCTCTCTCTCTCTCTCTCTCTCTCTCTCTCTCTCTCTCTCTCTCTCGCGCGCGCGCGCGCGCGCGCGCGCGCGCACGAGCCCTCGCTCTGCAGCAATTTGTCTCAGGGCCAAAAGCAATGGAGCACACGCAAATAATGAACGAGGACTCTGCATTCGACCAGCACAAAAGCATGGAAAATGGTCACGAAACCAGGCCCGCACCCAGTACCGGTTTTCAGGGCCACGAAACCAGACCGGCACCCAGTACTGGATTTCGAGAATAATGGCACGGCCTCAAAGGGCCCACTCTCTTATTTCCGGAATTCTCGTTCGGCGAACTGGCCTGCACATTAGCCCACATTTTCATATGCACCACAAACATTTTCATACGTCGGCCAACGCCCGCCGCCGTGCGCCATTGCCCTGCGCTACTGCATTGCCCAGCGCCCACCGGCCAGCGCTCACCACCC